CTCATTACCAATAATATTAGATTAGACATCTTATTAGTAATTAAAACATCCTTGTTTTAAATCTTACTATTTTCTCTGCTTTCTCTTGTTGTTTTGCTCTTCTTATTTCAGCATATGATGCCTCTAATAATTGTCTTGCCGCTAACTGTCTTTGCACACTTGGCACATTTAGCACAATTGGCACACCACACTTGAAACATGTTGAACATTTTGAGCCTTCTTATCGTTTCTTTGTTTGCATGTTTTGCTCTCATTTCTTCTTCAGTTTCGTTTCTTCATTGTTCCTTAACTTTGCACCATATGATGCTTTTTGTTTATTAACAGGCAATGTGTCATCTGGTGCCCCTTTACAATAATTTGGGTGGGTATTTTTTATATTCTTCGGTGTCACCTTTTTCAAACAGTCAGGCCATTCTGCTAATTTAACAACTCCAACGCTTCTCGCTATTGTTCGGGTGTTGCTTTTGCTTTTGGCTCTGCTTCTTTATTTGTTGGTTCCTCTTTCGGTTCATCCTTGCGTTTCTCTTTCGGTTCTTCTTTGGTTCTTCTTTAGGTTCTTCTTCAATAACTTCCTTACTTTTTATTTCAGTTGCTTCTTCATTTTTAACCTCTTCAACTTCCTCACTACTCATGATGATAGTTTAGATTTTTCTGATTACATATTTACTAATCCCTGAAACAAGTTAAACTGAAAGAGCATTCAACATTATGAAAATTAGCCGTCTTATTGATTTCGTCTGTAAATCTAAAGCTTCACCTTCGTAGATTTTACCACTGACATCACCATAATCAAAACTAATCAAAACCATTTATTTGGTTGTCTTGGATGATACCTGAATAGGAAACTGATACATCAATTTTTGTAATTGATGAACTACCTGCTACTGCTAATTGGTTGTAATTGCATATTCCATTACCATGCAAGTAAAGACTTTTCGCTGGGATTAAATCAACAAAGCCTGAAACAAAAGGTGATGAAATACCATGGGTAGGTGATGTATCCACTATATCTAATACTTTGTTTAATGAACGTAAATGTTTACATCAATACCTATAAATTCATGTTGCTTTGCCGTAACTCCTGCTTCAGTGAAAACATTAAATATAATAGTAGAAAAATTAATGGCGATTGTTATTTTATTCAATCTTGTATCATGTGAAACTGTCTAAGTATCGGTTCTAATTGCATCAGGATCTCTATTATCAAAATAATCGGCCAACCAAAATTGAATTCGTGATGCAAGTTCAGCACCAGAATAATTACCTTCATCAATAGAGAAAACGCGAGAGTCTATTATATCAGGGTTAACACCGTTAGACATAGGTAGTATAACATTAAACAAAGGAGCTTTAGACCCACTTCAAAATCATTCATATCAAGACATAGGCAATGTTCATAACAAAGCAGGTAATTGACCTGTAACAGCAGAAGATTTTATGCAACAGTTTAACTGAGTAAATAATCTAAATATTCTTGATAATGTATCATCATAAACCGACAACATGTGAGAAAATGGAAAAACGAAAACTAAAGAAGAAGTTTAAAGAAAACAGCTATGAATAAATAAGTAAATTAGTAGAAGGTAATGAGAACGAACACAATGAAGTTATAAATAGTGCTAAGAATAAAGAGAATGATAAATCTGAAAACAATATTAAATTCAGTTCAAGTTTATTTGATTAAATATAATTCAAAATACTTGTGCTTATTTCATTTTCTATATAAGTTTATATTTGCATGGAAACATTCAGTCCTGAAGATATTCTCGTTGAAAATTTTTCATTTAAATTAAACAAAGGTTCAAGTTATTTTATTGACAGAAGAAATGTAAGATTTTATCCGCCAGGTTCAAATGTGTATAAACCTACATCAGGAAACCCGTAGTAAAAACTTTCTTTGAATGCTGAAGATAACGGATGGTTAGACCCTCAATCAATTCGTGTATTCTTTACAGTTCAAAATTTAGACCAAACACTTAACAAAAAACTACGACCCCTAGCACCGCCTTATTCTTTCTTTAGAAGAATGAGAATTACTGCCGGTAAGCAGCCTGTTGAAGACTTTGATAATTACAATCGTGTTCATCAAACGTTTTCAAAATTAATGTCACAAAGAGCCTGAAAAGACGAAGCTAATGAAGGCTTCGGTTATAGATATGATGATGAAGTTAAAACATTGTTTAATAATAGTGCTGGTGCTGTTTTAGCATATGAAGTAAATGGAACAAGCTGTCAAGGCCTTAAGAATCGAGTGACGGTGGGATTTAAACCATTATGTGGTTTATTCTCACAGTTTAAATAGTTACCATTAATAAAATATATGGGGTATTTAACAGTTGAACTTGAACTTGTAAATGATGATACTAATTGCATTATTAACCCTGATGACAACACAGAAGCAAACACAATAGGAGACCGGCTTACAACTGATGTAGCATTACCTGGAGGCAATATTTCAATTACTTCGAAAGTATTTGAACTTAATAATGCCTTCGTTTCAAGTGATATTGGCAGCCGTGATAATCATTTAAATAATGAGTATGTCAAGCATCTTTCAGAAGGAAAAGGTTTACCGATTACCTATACAACTTACATAACTCAAATGCAATCAGTGGCAGGCTATACCGATATTAGTGTTCCAGTTATTCGTTCAGTATCTAAAATAGTAGCATCATTCATTACACTCTATAGAACTGATGACCCCAGTTTAGGTTACGAATATGCTAATAAAAGATTTTGTAGGTGTTACCATCCTCATCAGTCTCACGACTCAAATGCAGAAGAACTTATGATGTTAACGAAGATCTTGGATTTCAAATTCAAATAGGTTCTAAAGTGCTCCCTGAATATCCATGCAATTCGCTAACCCAGTGTTTCTAGTATTTAAGAAAAGCTTTAAACTTTCCCGTATTCCATCAACATAGTATTTCAACTGATTTTAAACACTTTCGGGATAGACAGTTTATTTTCGGCTTCCCATCTGAAAACGTGCCGGACAGTTCATATACCGGAACTAACACAAGAGCCGGACAACAAATGTTTTTTCGTATAAAACCAGCCGGAGCTTCAATTCCTGCTGATGATATGCCGGATGAGACTTTTTTAACGATGCTTTCAGAACAGATACTTGAGACAAAAGACTTTTGTCTCAAAGTATATGATTGGCAAGTTGTAAGACGTTTAAAGACAAATTACCCAACTATAGTAGCAGGTAATATGCCATTAGTATCGATTGACTACAGTAAAACACATTTCTACAAGATTAGATGTAATGACCTTAATATATCTGACTGTTCTGTAGGTCATACAACTGATTTCAGAAAAAGGAAAAATCATCGTAAAACATGTAACATTTTGCAATAATCAAAAAGACACAAACCATAACTTAATTCTGTACCAGTTTATCCGTGAAAATGGAGGTTGGGATCATTGGGATATGATTAACATAGAAACAAGGAGTTGTAAAGACTGCCTTGAAGCAAAAAGTATTGAGCGTGAACTTGTAGAAAAAATTCAGGCAACATTAAACACAATCAGACCCATAGCAACACCTGAAGAAGTGAAAGAAATGAAGAAGAAACATTATGAAGAAAACGAAGAAGAACAATTAACAGAACAAAAACAAAGATACAAAGAGAAAAAGTCATATTGGAAATGAATAAGAAACGGCGAGACGAACATAAACAGGAACAAAAAGAGTATCACAAAAATTATCGTCAAACCAATAAAGAAAAAGTATCAGAGGCTAAAAAGAAATGTTATGAAGAAAAGAAGGAAGACTATCTACAAAATACAAAAGGAATATTATCAAAGCATAAAGAAGAGCTAAACATTGAACGAAAAGAACGTTATGAAAGGCAGAAAGAAGAAGCATCGGCAAAAGGTAAACTCAAAATAACATGCGAATGTGGTGATATCATCCGCAAGTCACGTTTACATAAGCATTTGAAAGCAAGAAGACAATTTAACTCAAATTAGTTGAACATTCTAATCATAATTTATCTAATTATTATTATTTTGACATTGACTTTAAACAAAACGAAGACAGTATCAGCAAACACTATTGTCATTAATGGCACTTCTCTTTCTGATTTATATGCTACTATGAGTTATATAGGTAATGAAAAATCAAACATCAATGTCGGTAGCGGAGGAGGAGAAGGATGAATAGCACAACAAGGTTTAAACGATGCTATAAACCCAATCATAGCCGTTGATGAGGTTAGAACTTAGTAATTACTGATCGTAACAATAATCTTGGTAACAATTTCCAAACAACAACAACTAAATTTAAATTTCTACAATGAAACAAAGGTAGATAGTTCTATTTCAGTTGTTGATACTTAAGCATTAGACAACTTCAATTCTATAAATGCTACTAATAAAATTTAACAAAGAATTATAAAAACAATGCGCAGTTAAATAATGAAAATCAAAGACAGCAATCGATGCTACTAATTGGATTGATAATACAGCATTAGTTGGCTATGTGATTATTTAACTTCTGCTCAATTGTCAACTTCATATTATAATAAAACTGAAATAGACGCAATTAAAGACGCAACTAACTGGATAGATGCAACAGCACTAGCACCCTATGCAAAACAGCAACACTAACAGCAAATTCTCAGACTAATTCACAGTTAGTGCGAAGCACGCACTGGCAGCGCAAACCCTGCTTTTACACCGCAAGCTGAAAAGTCTTAAAGTCATGCATATGTGAATCTAACTTGTGGCAAAAATGCCTTGGTAGTGTAAAGCGGACCTGAGAACATCTGGCGGGCTGTCTCGCATGCGGGCACAGTCCTAGCATCTCGGGCCGGCTGAATGTCGCGGCCGCTTGCTGTGACAACGAACTGCTGTCCATGACTGGTGCGTCCAGGCGAATCTCACACCGGTATAATTTATCTTTCGTTGTCATCCTCAAGCTCTTGCGCCTCTCTGATTCAGGCACTTCTCCTCGCATGCTTCTCGTCGGTCTTGATGTCCAGGACCTCTTGCTAGGCTTTCCGCCGTTGCCGCTCTTCTCGCTTTCGCTCCTTGAGCCACTGGTTGGCCTCGGTCTGCACTAGGCTCATAAGCCCTGTCCTTAGGAACTCCTTCAGGGTGTCCTTCTCGGCATTGGCCTTCTTCGTCAAGACATTGGCAATGTTCTGCTGCCCGTCTATCCACTTGACGTGGGCGTTGTCTTTCCTGACCGTCTCCCGGAGCAATGCGCCCTCGATCGCCATGCGCTTGTCGCTGCTGGTACTCGTGGAGTCCTTGGCCAGGTAGTCGAAGACCGACTTTGCGTTCGTGACGTAAGCCCGGGACCTCTTCTCAATAAGTTTGTCCCAATTCTTCAGGTCCAGTTGCCCTGTAAGGGCTTCTTCGAGCAAAACAATTGCCCAGTCACCAGCTTCCACTGCCTCTGCCAGGTGGCTCGCCTCAGCAGCCAGGGTGCTCCTGCAAACTCTCTTCGTTTGGGAGGAGTGGTAGCCAATGATGTTGGCTCTGGCCTCTTTTCCATCCGATATCTCCGCATTGGCCACCAGAATAAATGTCCGCTCACGGAGCTGTAACGAAGAACTTCGTTGTGGTCTGGTGCGCCGTTGGCGTGTCCACTTCCAGTACCTCTGCCTGAAGTCTGCGCCGCGCCGCGCTTGACCCATGTACTTCTGTAGCCTCACCAGGTCGGCCACAACCGCATCGGTCTTGCACTTCTGGATCACGCCGTTCTCGTAGGCCAGGTCGCAGCGAAGCTGCCTCGTGAGCCAGCCTAGCTCACCGGCTGCACTCTGCAGCTTCTCCAGCTCTTCGGGCTCGAGTTCGTCTTCAAGTTGCTTGCGCCTCGCTGACGCCACTTGCAAACACTTCATGCTCAGGGCATAGTTGCACATGCTGACGTCTATGTGCCCCTCGCTGGTCTGTTTCACCTCCCTGCCCCGGAAGATGAAATCCTTCACGTGGTTGGTGGCGAACCCCAGGGCCCGGCTGGGCTTCTCGAAGGCGGCCTCCAACATCTTTGGGTGCACTCCGCCCTCGATATCGTCCACGTGGGTAACAAGTATGCCCATCAGTAAGGCACCTTGTCTCCGAAGGTAGAACAAAGCAGGCTCAAGCTTGCTCTCCTCCCAGCCGTCGGAAAGAAGGTGGTCCCGCAAAGCCAGCCAAAACAACCGAGCCGCCTCAGCAAAACCATATATAGCTCTCTTGGCTCTTAAAAGCTGACGTGGCTGCAAACCGGGAAGTCCCCCACGTGGTTGCTCAAGATAAATCTCGCGCCGCACGTTCTTGCCCGAGAAGTAGGCATTCTTGATGTCCTTTGCGAACAGGAGGAAGCGCTTGTGAGCACAGATTGCGAGGCAGATGCTTTCTGCTGTGGCGCTCGCCGTTGGAGCGTCCCTCCTGTAAAGGCCCAGGGCCTTGTCCTTGAACCCTTGCACCACGAGCCTCGACTTGGCCAAGAAGGGGGCACCGTAGATGCCGTCGTTCTTATTTGTTCTCACCCAACGAGTTGGGATGATCAAGTCGAGCTTGCTGCGCCTGATCTTCTCGCTCTCGGCTGGGCCAAGGACGGACTTCACATGCCTCCTTGGTTTTCCAGGCGTTCCAGTCCTTCTCGTCTGAGCCGCCCTTGGCCGTGAACATCTCCTGCTTTAGGTCGAGCTCGGACAACTTTATCTCCTTGCGCCCCTTTTTCTTTGCTGTGGTGCCTTCGTCTTGGTAAAGCAGTTCCGCTTGAAGCCAAAGAGCAGGTCGCCCTTGCTGACGCCGATCGCGTGGTAGGCCTGGGCTTGCCGTAGTGCTCGGAGGCCTTGTTCTTCAGGTACCCAGGCTGGTCGGTGGCCAGTTATAGGCGTTGCAGGTCTCAGCCACGTAGTTGGCAGAGTGCTCCCCGAAGCCTCTTGGCCTCGCGTTCTTGGGCCTCCGCAGCTGCGCTCGCGCCGGCGGCTCCACGTGACACCCGTGGCCCGCAAGGTCCTCCGCCACGGTGGAAAGAAAGTACTTGCCCCGGTCCGTGATGATCCCTCGCTCCGGCTAGCCGGCCCACGCCAGCCATCCATTCCCAAGCGCTTCCAGAACTGCTGCTCCAGCGCCCTTCTCAGTCAGCACGTCGATGCCGATCATCACGTTGAACTAGCTTGCCACAGGGAGCTTGGATGGTCTCGGGTGCTTCGGCTCGGCCAGTCGCGGGCAATCTGGGCAACGGAAAATGCCGACACGCCTTGTTTGCCGTCTCCGAGGCGCGAGCGATCCGGAGTGCTCGCAGCATCGCCGGTTGGCTAGCATGCCCTAGGTTCTCATGAACCTGCTTGATCGCAAGCTTCAGTTCTCGAGGTAGGGCTTGCCACTGCCGGTCTCGGGCCAGCTCCTTCTGCTGCAGCCCGTCAGCTCGATCTCGCCCTCGACCTCGCCGACCTCCTTGCCGAACACCGCCACGTAGAGCTTCCGGTCCTTGGCAGTGATGGGTCTTATCTGGGCCAACGGTGACATAGTGTACCACTCTTCCAGTCGGTCGTCAAAGCCGCGCCCCCACCAAGTAAAACAACGACTTCCTCAAAGGTACTGCGTGTGGCCCAGCATGAGGTTGTGGTTTCTTAAGTCTCCGGGCGTTGGTGGAGCCTAGGATAAGGATCACCTCGGCATTGGCACCCTCGAGCATCGGTATTGATTTAGTTCCAGCCCTCTGTGCCCTCCTGCTGGCTGGATATAGTCTAAGGTCCCCTCGAGCAACTGCAAAACGGCAAGGCGGGGCTGTCGAGGAATCGGGCACGAAGAGCTTGCGCCTCTGGGCCCGGTGAACCCGGATCATGCATTCGTCTTCCCAGGGCTCCTCAAAGTCCTCGTCGCCCTCGTCTTCTTCCACCTCCATATCCACGGGGCAGGCGGCATCCATCCAGAAGGCGCCCTCCTGGTAGGACATAGCCACGGCATAGTCAAGCCTCATCGTGTAGTCCTTGGCAAATCTCCTTGCCCAGCTTCCTCGGCCAGGTCTGTTGCCGAAGGTCGTCTTCCCTTCTCCTTGCCGTGCGCCCCACGAGCGCACCAGCAGCGCTTAGCCAACCTGTTCAGCAGAATTTCAGCATTGCTGAACCTCGGCCGGCGGTCCCCAAACGAACTTGCCGTTGGACTGCTCTTGTGGAAGATGCCCTTGAGCGCCAGGCTTCCGCACCGACCGGCCCCTCAATCAAATAGTATCTTCCGGCTCGCTCTTGTTCCCGCCAAATCCAACGGATCAACTGTATCGCCTTGCTGGCTCGGGGTCGTGGCAAAAGCTTCCGTGCCTTTGGTCTTCGGGTTGCCGCTTCGCACCTTATCGCTGCCGTGGCCTCGTCCCTCGGCCCCGGTCTCCTCGGCGAACTTGTCCTTGAGCTCGTGCAGCTTGATGTAGTGAGTCGCCCTTCTTGAGAACGGGCTCTCCGCGGTAAAGTCGCGACAGCCTCTCCAGAACCTCCGCCTTGGTCCCGGCTGTCTGTACCTGCCAGCGGTCACAATCCGACTGAAGCTCCCGAAGGCGAAGCTGGGCCAGGCGGGTCACGACCTTGATCTCGATCTTGTCCTTGGGCACCGTTGGAGGTGGGCACACCTCCTCCCAGCCACTGCTTCAGGAGTCTGGGCTCCCACGCTGTTTCCTCTTATCGTCGGTCTGTCCTGCTCCATCTCCTGCTGCTCGGGGTCGTCCTTGGAGCCTGGGGCCACCATGTTGGCCGTCGGCATCGTCATCGAGGGCTTCTAGGCTGAAGAAGCGGGGCTCCTGGCAGACGGCATAGGCCTTCCCAGGGCCCTTCGTCTTGCCTGGGCCGCCAGCGCCGTGATCAAACCCACGGCCCTTCTTGGCACCCTTCTTGCTTCCTCCTCCTTTCTGGCAGGCGCTGTCCGCTGCCCAGTGACCCAAACGGCCGCACACCGAACAACGTGTCCTGGCCTTCTCTGGGGCGATGGCCTGCTTCTTATCCTCACTCATGTTGCTCCCGCCATCGCGCGGGCGAAGAAAGCCACGAGAGCGCTGCAGGTCCTTGAGCTTCTGCCGGCTCTCCTTGTAGCTGGCATAGGCTTCGAAAACTTCCTCGTCACCGCAGGCCCTGGCATCTGAGATCTCGCCCTCCGCCTCGGCACCCTCGTCGACGACGGCGTTGGCATAGTCCTCCGGGCCGCCCTCGTCATAGCCGCTCGCGTCGGGCTCCTCAAAGAGATCCTCGTGCTCGGGCTCGGCGTCGGCGAGGTGGGCATAGTTACGCCGGCCACAGCCCTTGGTGCTGCCCTTTGGCTGCTTGCTGCTGCCCTGCCACTCTCTTCTCGCACGCTCGTGCACGTCGAAGAAGCTGGCACGGAGAGCTTTCTCGACGCCCTCCATCGTGTAGGAGCTTTCGTTGGCAAGTAAAATTTGCCGCTTATCCTCCCGGCTCAGGCCGATGTTCTTCAACAGGAAGTAGGTTTGCAGCTCCTCGCTCATAGTCACTCCCTGTGCGACGTCTTGCAAATCGCTCCAGTCTTGCTTCCTTTGGCGAAGGTAGCTGTCGATGGACTGCCCCGTCTTGCGGAAGCACTTGTCGAAGTACTGGTCGAAGGCCTCCGTCTTCTTAATCACACCTGCCTTCTCGATCTGCTGGAGCTCTTGTGGCCGTCGGGCTCCTGAAGCTTCTCGGTCTCCAGCATAAGGTCCTGGCAGGCCCGGAAGGCCTCGCCGTGCAGCGCATCCAAAAGCTTCCGCCCGAACTTCTTCTTCTTCTTCTTTGCCAAGCTCTTGCGCTCCTTCTCTTCATCGTCTCCACTGCCCTCCAAATTGGAGTAGGCGAAAAGAACTCGTCGCCTGTACTCCCGCATCAGTTGTGGAGCCGCCCCGGTGTAATGGGGTATGCCGTCGCGGTCCACCACAATTTCATCATCTCTCCAGAAGTCGCGGGAGCCTCCAGTCAGAGCCATGGCTTGGAGCTCACCGAAGCTCCGCTACCAGTGCGAAGCACGCACTGGCAGCGCAAACCCTGCTTTTACACCGCAAGCTGAAAAGTCTTAAGGTCATGCATATGTGAATCTAACTTGTGGCAAAATGCCTTGGTAGTGTAAAGCGGACATGAGAACATCTGGCGGGCTGTCTCGCATGCGGGCACACCTCTAGCATCTCGGGCCGGCTGAATGTCGCGCCCGCTTGCTGTGACAACGAACTGCTGTCCATGACTGGTGTGTCCAGGCGAATCTCACAGTTAGCCACAAACTATTATAATAAGACTGAAATTGACGCTAAAAAACTGGATTGATGCAACGGCTTTGACACCATATGCTTTTACTTCTACATTAACAAACGATGGTGTGACTTCTTCACGAAGAGCCACCTCATATTATAATAAAACTGAAGTTGATGGACTTGTAGCAAGTGGCGGTGTAACTAACCCTATTGAATCTGTTGATGCTAATACAAGTATTGAACGATGCACAAACGCTACAAAATCTAACGTTTCATTAGATTTAGCAATACACGAAACAGCAAGTGGTATAAGATTAATACACGGAACTAATGATGATACCAATACTTACCCAGAAACCAATGATATCACAAACGGAACAACATTTTTCAAACAAATATTTATTAAAAAACACGACAGACGCATCAGTAGTTTTAGATTTAAAGACCGCACAAGGATACATAAGGATGCACAGCTTTAATATTAATGCTTATAAGACCAGTAATGATAGTCCGAGTTTATGATTATTGAATACAGTTTCTATTGGTGGTGTATATTGTTTAAATTTAGGTATTGGAGGTATTGCAGGAGCTAATCGTTTAAGCGTTGGAGGTGGCAATAGTAATTTGGGTGGCACGGCATCTTTTTAAGCATCAACAACATTTAATAATAGTATTTTAGTTAGTCATGGTGGTAGAATATATCAACAAGGCAACGCTAATAATTCAGTAAATACTATATCATTACCAGAACACAATGTTTCATTACAAAGTCGTCGCAATGCCGGTCCACAAGCATATGAAATGTATTTACAATAAAATAATACAGCAGGTATCACATTAAATAAAGCTACTACTTGTAATTAAACAGTTGATATAACAGGTAAACTAACATGTGAAAGTGATTCTGATGTAGATATTGGAGGAACAGGAATGCCAGAACTTTGGCTATTAGGTAGTAGCGTTAATTTCTTTAAAAAAGTTTAGTATTACACATACTCAACTTGCTGGACTAATAGACCAAATATGTTTTAGAAATCCAGGTACAAATGGACAGACGATAACAGAAATAGGAACTACAAATGTATTAAAAGTTAACACTGATGGTATAGATATACTCGGTAATACTAGTTATAATGGTTCTATTGGTCCTTCTTCAGATAAGCGACTTAAAGAGAATCTAAGAGAATTTGACACGAAAAGGGCTGTAGATTTGATAAAATACATTGTTCCTAAAAACATATAAATATATTGATAAAAATACATACGGTGATAGGTCTGCGCTGGTATGATTGCTAACGACTTTTTAACTGACAAACTGCCGAAAGAATGGGAAAATTTAGGTATAAAAGCAAAAGATGGACATTTAAGGTTTGAGTACAGTATGACTACTCCAATTGATGGAGTGCTTTACAACACGCTTCAAAAACAAACGGCGACATCAAAAAATCTATAACTTATCTGAAAGGAGAATTAACAAAGTTGAAAAATCGAAAGACTGTTGAAACTTTCTTATTGGGGGTTCCACCCCGAAATAACAAAGTTGAAAAATACGCCTAATCAATATTAACGATAAGACTATTTAATGAAAAAACTGAAAAGAAAATGAAAAGTAAAATATTTAGTGTAACAGAGAAATATACAAAAGATCTACTAATATTGTATTTTGGTTTTGTAACTGGCGTGAAATACCAAAGATTAAAGTAAAGACAGAAGAAATATTAAATGAATTAGGAATCATATAAAGAATAATATTTGTTGTAATACATAAGGATATACAGAGCAAAAATCTAAATTATATATGAAAATGGTGAAATTGAATATTACTTTAATGTAGATTACCCAAATAAAAAATTTGCAATTAAAGCCATTTTGATTTTTTTATACATCAGTTATTGATGGAGACTTTTATTATGGAGACTGGAGGCAAAGTCTCCCATCAAGGCGAAGCCGAGACGGGGAAAAAGTCACCCCTCTGGGCGAAGCCGAGCCTACCAATTAACAGAAGAAGAAGAAAAAGACTTTGATTTAATGTCTGAAGAATATTTTAAACTTTTTGAAGTCATTGATGAATGTAATTATACATATGTTATGGATGTATTTGAGATGTGGAATGATAGGGATAAAAAAGAACACGGTTATAGTTTTGTGGGCTTTAACAGTTTGGTTTATGACTTATATGACGAAATTTGCACTTTGATGAACTAGGACTATTTTTATGCTACTGAAGAAATTGATAAAGCTTATTTTCAAAATTAGTATATATATATATATGGGTATCAGAAGCTCAAACAACGAAGACCGCAATAATTATATAAATCAGAAATTTCATATTAATGAAGATGAACTGGGTTTATCAAACATTAATTAATAAAAGCTTTAAAAGCAATGATTGTAGAATTTAAAGAATTAAGGGAAAAGAAGAGTGGTAAAATAATGTACAAGCTACCAACAAATCTTTGTAATTATTCATTGGTTTAGTTTAATAATATTGTTCTTGCAATATTATTGTTAAGCTTCGTGTATGTTGTTGGTGTTGGTTCTTTCTTGAAACCCATCATAACCATTAGAAAAGTTATTATTCGTTTACCTATCTCTATAACATATGACATTGAAAATCAAACCAACCGGAAACCAAATAGGGAAAAAAGGAAGTGCTAATCAACATACTATTTTTTCCGTTAATGTTGTTCCTTCTTCATGTACTAATTGATGATGATCTCTGATAAGACTTAATGTCCTTTTTTCTAATCAATAGTTAATTTAGCATTAAATCTTGTATATAACATATCATTAACATCTGGTTTCATTGATTTATAAACAAGAAACTATATGGTTCTTCTGTTGCTAAATTGTATACGTCTGATAACCATTTCTTTGCTTCGGCAAGGATTTTTGCATCTACTACACTTGATTTTTTCTTATTAATACCGCGCTCAATTCTTCAATCATTGTTTTTATTTCCTTAAACGTCCTTAACATAAAAAAGAATAACTGACGACTAATGACACGAACAATCGGGTTTGGTGCATCAAATTTTTGTGTGCTTGTTATGATGTTTATACTCTTGTGACGACCGCGACCATATAACTGACTTAGTAGAGGTGAGTTTCTTGAGAATGCCTTACTGTCTGCAAAGTCATCAACAATAGTAAGTAAAGAATGTAATTCATTATGGTCGCCCTTTTCTGATATTCCATTACTTCATGCTGCTATTTTATTACTCCTTGTAAGAGGGAACATATTCATCAAAGAAACATTTTTCTTTATCAGTATTCACTGTCAGCTCATTCTGTGTATACTTTTTTACTGGTGTCCAATTAGCATCAACGGAGATTGAAGGAGACCAAACATATATTCTGGCAAAAACATCACGATAAATATCTAATATCATTGATTGCAATAAGATACCTTTACCAGAACCGCAAGGACCAACTAATGTTTGACAAAATGGCAAACGTGGTGCAACTTCATATTTAGATCATTTAAAATCGTATTCTTTAACATTAACCAGCTTAACTATAGGAACGCTCGGCAGAGCCTCGCTATGCTTTGAAAGGTTATGATAGAAGATATATTAGTAATGAAGAACTAAACTACTTTTTGAATGATTTATTTGATGATTCTAATAAAATATATACTTAAAGCAATACTAAGCTATAATACTGTATGGAAGTTTTAACCAATAAATACAAAACAAAGTTGAAAGTGTAAAGCGAGATTATGAATCAATCGAAAACAAATTACAATCAACACGAAATGTTAAACAAGATTTTAAAGACCTTCTAGATGAAGAAGATTTTGAAATAATTGACAATGAGATTAAAAAAACATTGTGAACATGAAAACAGAGCTTCAAAACTAAAGAAACATATGAAACCTTGTTAACTAAACTAAATAATGATGTTTCAGGTGATGATGATGATGATGATAATGCCTTACTTTGCAAACTTAAAGTAAATGATAAATTGAAGACACCACTTAATACAAAACTATCATATTGAATGAAATAAGCAAACTTCAAGACAAAACCCCGCAACAAATCTTCATAATAAAGAATATTATGAATATTTGATAACACGCTAGAACCTCAAACACCCCAGAACTTTAGTAATCATGATAATCCTTGAAAATGATGATGAAATAATGAGTGAGCTGCCGAAAAGTAATGAAAGAGGATGGTAAAATTACTGAATAATGGAGGATTTCTGATAAACCCCTAGAAACCCCTAGTATAAAACGAATGAGGGGGAAATTATGATGAAGAATGAAGCGGATGATGATGATGATGATGAAAATGAAAATGATGTGGTATGAATAATGGAGAAGGTGAGATACTAACCCCAACACCCGCAGGCTAAAACCCTTCAAACCCCCTTTCTACAATTTTTCCCCGAAACGCGACCGACGCGGGCGCGCCTTCTTGGCACCAGCCTTCAGAAGCAAGTCCACGCACTCGGCACCGGCCTTGCGAAGCTGGTCGTGCTCATAGGCGTTGCCCCAGAACATGAGGACTTTGTGGAGCGGCGTCTGACCTCGGCTCTTGGCGGAGGCTTCGAGGGCGGCGGCCGCCTCGGCGGGCTCCTTTTGCCGGGAGCCGTGGAGTGGGGAAAAGACGCCAAAGGAAAAGGAGAAGATCCTGACGTCCGAAACCGACCGAGAACATGCTCTGCCCTCCCCTTTTCTTATCCTTTTTGGGGAGGTCACTGCACTCCAGACGCTTCGCAC